TTAAGGAATGAATTAATTAGTCTTTTGTGTCAACTTTTGCTGAACATGACATTGTGAAAACAACGCCTGGAGGAAACAGGGTTACTGAAGAGAAAAAAGGTCAAAGGATTAATAAAGACAAATGGCTGGGCTAGATCCATTGACCAATGTAGCTCAGGAGTCTGTTGAAAATTAAGCAGGTTTGCGGATCACATGGCATGGGGCTTCTAGTAAACCACCATAGATTTTGTAATTGTGATAGTCCAAAATCCAATATTCCCCCTTCCTTGTGTTGCTAGGATAGGAAAGTACATAAATGACAAACATCTGTGATGTTGAATTCTATAAAATCTCAACAATCAGGAGATACATATTAAAATTAAAGTTTTGTTGAGTTGTTGGAATGCATACTCATCAGTGGGAGATCATAGACAGACAGACAGACAAATGATGGATGGATGAATGTTACATTATGTTATTTTATTCAGGGTGTGATCAAGTTATTCTGCTAAAAGGACAAATAAGGTTCCATGTTCCCATTCCATGTGCAACGGCCCTGATGGTGGAAGAATATCCTCTGAAAATAAGACCCTTATAAGGTCTTATTTTATTTTTGCTTCCAAAAGAGGCACTAGGTCATATTTTGGGGGGGATGTCTTTTCTACTCACCTTGCGGCGGCAGCACTTACAGCCCCACCCAGCTAGCCCTTCTGCGGCTGAAGGAGGAGCTTCATTCTTCAGCTGGGAATGGAGCTCCAGCCTACGTTTTGCCATCAGGTCTCTGCAGGCAAGAACCGAGCTATGGATTTAATCCATAGCTCGGTTCTCGGCTGCAGAGGCCTTTCAAAAATGCAGGCCGGGGGGGGGGGTGGGGATGCTGCAGAAGAAGTGGGCCAGCAAGGAGAGGCAGGTGTCAATTCATGGGAGGCCTGGTACGTGGCTGAGGGGCATGTGGGGCAGCTCCACCCCCACCCCACCCTAGCTTGATTTTTAGGCATGCGCCTTGCCCCAAAACTAGGGCTTATTTTTGGGGTAGGGCTTATATTAGGCCCACCCACCCCCAAAATGAGGGTAGGGCTTATTTTTGGAGTAGGTCTTACTTTCGGGGAAACCTGGTATATACTTGTGCCTAATAATAATAAAGGTACTATCCCAAAGTTGTTTTTAAATTCATCATTGGAAACATTTTCCCTATATTTCAGAATAGCTGTACTAGCATTAAAATTAAAAATTATGTTCTAGGGAGAAAAAACTGCATATATTGACTTTGAAATAGGTTTTATTATTTTCAGATATTCATACTCTTTTGAATTACATACTAGTATTTATTTAAGGAAACTGAGTCATGGACAATGGAAATGGCTCCAATTACTCAGTTATCTAAAGATTTTATGTTACTTGTGACATATGATTGAGTTGCCTAAAGTTGTAAACTATGCAGAATATGAGTACAGTGAAATATGGTCATCCTTTATTGAAATTATGTGTAAAACCTGAACATACATACATACATACATACATACATACCGTAAATGCCGGCGTACAAGGCGACCCGGCGTATAAGACGACCCCCGTCTTTATAGCTGGGCCGCATTCCTAGAACACCGTCTTATATGCCGGAAACTACCAGTGTTTCCGGCGTATAAGACGACTCGGCATATAAGACGACCCCCGTCTTTGGCGCCGATTTCAGCGCTCGCGGAAGTCACCTTATACGCTGGCATTTACGGTACATACACGCATTTTTTTTTAGATTGCTAACAAAGAATAAAGGGAGAACCGGAATAGCTATTTCGAGCTTCTTAACTCTCTTCAGCCAGACATACCCTTCTGAGATTCAAACCTGGGCTGTGTGCATGTTAGGCAGCTGTATTAGGCAGAAAAAGAAAAAAAAAAGATTTCTTTCTCCCATATTTGGGCCGACAGGGTGCATCAAAAAACACTCAAGGTATATATATATATTATAAGTACTTAATCTGTTTTTTCCTTCTGTTTTGTTTAAATAAAGGTAAAGCATTATTATGGAAATATTACTTCCTATGTAAGAATAACCATCAATCTTATAGCTATATTAAATGGATGTTTATATATAACAAATATTGTAACTCAATTAATTTTAGAATTAAACCAATGCAACAGATGATAATTTGCAACAGAAAGTGCTATTTTTGAGAAAGTATTTTGGCTTATATTACAATTTGCAATGAAGAGCAGCAGAACTACACAAATGCTAAATGTATAAATATTCATCTGGTCATCCAACCCACATATTCAGGATACTGTTTTACCATTTTAATACACATTGGCCAAGTTTGAAACCTGTTCCTAGTAGGAATAACCTATAGCATTATTCCCTGAAAAACAAGAAGCCTGTGTCTTTTGCTGTTGATTATATTAAACACATTAATTCATGGGTGTCAAACTCGCCACATCACTTGATGTGTCATGACATATTGTGACTTTTTTCACATTGCCGGAGCTGGGGTGGGCATGGCCTCCGCATAATGCAACCGGCCTGTGGGCTGGCAGTTTGACACCCCTGCATTAATTCCATGTAGTATGGAAAAGAAAAGCAGATAGGAAGATCTCCTTTTCACTGCTTGAAATGTGTTTCTTGAATCAGTCAAGCATGTGCAACTCCTCTGAATATACCCTTCACTGAAATAATGTCGTTTTGACACAATTGTTGGATTTTTAATTTAGCAGTATTGCGTATAGTTTGCATGAAAAAGGTCTCAGTTTCCATCCCTGTATCTTAGGGGTTATGAAGATCCTCACCTGAAATTCCTGTAGGTAGGCCTACCTTTTCCCAATATAGTGCTGTATTTCAAATGCATTACAACCCCAGACAGCACTGGCACTTGTGGTGATGTGGGAAACTGAAGGATGCTCGCTTAAATATTGCAACACCTAACTAATGGATCAATAGTCTGAATTAGTAGAGGGTAGTTTCTGATGGCTGGTTCTAATCATCTTCAGTTAGATATCTCATACTTGATTTAGCCTGAACAGAACCATCTTCTTATTTATAGTTTTGGATCTGCTATGGTTCCCCTGTCAAATGAAGGCAATGGCATGGAACTATTCCAGGATTTAGGCACAATTTTGAATGATCTTCTTTTATAAAGCTATCCTGTACAAACCATGAGGTTGCAAATATGATAAAACATGTGATGTGACACCATGATGCAAAGTTCAATCTTTTATATTTTTGTTCCAGCATTGTCCTCCAGAATCGTTGTCCTCCATTTGCCCTTCCTTGCTCTGGTTCTGCAGGTACCTGTAGTACATTACACTAATGAGAGGAGTATGTTGGCCCAGCCTAAGCTGATATGCTTGCAAGACTCCTTTCTAAAGCAGACAGTTGTTGACTTAGTTATTAATACTGTAATAGTGAAAGTACAAATACTGAGAGTATCCCCGAATAAATGTGATGAAATTGTCCCCTGGTCCAACGCTTCCTAACCTGGGTAAATTATTCAAAATTGGGTAAAAGTGGTTCTTCTTTGGATAATGAACTCATTAATGGTTTTGCAGAGTAAATGACTGAGCTTAGGTCAAGCAGCCAGTGTAAAATATTATTTGAAGAAAAGGAGAACCATCTGGAGTCTTTCTGGTTAACAATTCACAGTAAATATCCTGAGTTAGCCCGGGAGGCTAAGATGCAATTATTGCTGTTTCCAAGTACATATATGTATGAAGTAAGATTTTCCATTTAGGCTTTCATAAGTAGCATCTAACAAAACTGTTTGCTGAATCCTGAAAATGGTTTTGAGTAATGAAGGAAAAAGTTTGAAAAGCATCGCCCTTCTCTGCCTTTTTTTCTTACAATTCTTACAATTATTTGAGTCTACTTTATCATTGAATGATCACACCATTTTTTAGTGGAAATAAGCAGAGTATGTGTTATTTACACCTAATAATTGCATGTGCGTAACTTTTAAATTAAATATGCAGCTGCTCACTGTACTATGGAAACTGACATGTGCTCAATGTAGTTCATTGGTGGTATAAAAAAGATAGATTACCCTCATACATTAGGCTAAGCTCAGTTAATATTGATCTTGTTTAGCATTTTGTGACTTGGAGCGTTCAAGTCTTCCCAGCCAGTTTGGTTATATATATATTGGTAGTTCAATGTATTAATCCAAAAATGAGTTCATTTGATCCTCAATTGAAGAATGTTGTGCAAAGACAGCCAATCCATTGTGTGAACTCAGAAAATTGTGTTAATAACCTCAACCACAGGCCAATTAACCTTGGATTAGCATTTTGTGTAACACATAGCTGTAGGGTTCATTGATCTAGATTTTTTTGATGTTACAGATGCAGATAGGATTCTACTTCTTAGGAGGCAGACAAATGCTCTGCCTTCATTATTAGGACCTTGACCACTCAGTCATGGGCAAAGTACTAACTTCTGATGCCACACAGCTATGGAATGTGATTGCAAAGAAAGAAAAAAGTGCCTTGCCATATTATGTCTGAAAAGGTGTGAAATTATACATCTAATTGTGAACCTCACAAAATGACTTCATGGACTTTTTGGAAATCAAAGGCAACCTGACTTGCGGGACAGGGAGAGGGGCAAGAAGGGAGAAGAGGAAATTATGCAGTTTTCTCCAGCTTGCTGCCATTCAGAAATATTGTGACACGACCATATTTGCTGGAAATAAGGTGAGTCACGAACCAACCCATCCAGAGGGAATGTGTTGTAATATCATTCTGAGTGTTTAAGAAAGAGGCGAGCGATTTTCTGCAGGCTGTGTGCAATCTTGAATAACGTTTCAGGTCAGGAAGCGACGCAATCCACGAAGCAAAAAAAAGAAAGAGGTGAGGCTGCGGGCAGGAGCAATATTTTTCTCAAAGACAACCCCCCCAACCCTGGATTTTAGAGGCCTTTCTTTCTTCTTTGACCGTCTTAAGTGTATTGCAGAGCTTCTACTCTCAAACAGGGTAAGTTAGCCTAGTTTTGAAAGGATCCACACGAAACGATGGATCCTACATAAGAGTGAATTTGCCCTTTCACCCTCAAGAAACCCTTCCGCAGCTCCCTTACGCACCCGCAGGATGATTAACAGAAGCGGCGGGGCTCCTCACCCGCGACAATAAAGGGACGTGAGGAAAAACAGCCGCTTTCTGCCCTGACGCGCCCTTTCTTCCTGAATTCAAGGGCGGCTCCGGGCGCGGAGGCCGGCAAGGAGGCAGGCAGTCACGTGCCAGCAGGCGGCGCTACAGCTGCTCTGGCTCCTCCGCGGCAGCTCCTGCTGCCGCCGCCGCTACCGCCACCTCCGGCTCCTCAGTCCCAGTTAGGGCATCCACCGGTGTCGCCTCGCGCTGGGAGCGGCCGCCCGGGAGAAAGGATGCTCCGCCGGGCGCGGCGGCGGCGGCGGCGGCGAAGGAGACGGGACTTCTCGGGGGCCGCGCGCCTTTTGTAGCCGAAGCCGCCGCCTCCTCCATGGCGAGCGTGGCGGCGGAACCCCCCGCCAGGTTTGAGCGGCGCGGCCCGGCTTGGAGGAGGAGGAGGCGGACGAGGACGCCCGGGGTCGACGGTGACCGGGCCCGCTTTTACTCCTGTCTCGCTGCGCCCTAGAAGCGCTACGGCGGTGGCGCCATGGCCGAGATGGAGCGTCCAGACGAGGCGGCCCGGTTCTGGCGAGACGCCGCCCTTCGCGCCAGGAAGCTGCAGAGCAACCTCCAGCAATTGGAGCTAGAGCTGGGCTCCCGAGGAGAGAGCGGCCCAGAGGCACCGCTGAAGCTGAAATCCTCGCAGCAGCAGCAGCAACAGCAACCGCCGTCCTCGCCGCTGGAGGTATTGAACCTGAGCGGGCGCGGCCTGGATGAATTGCCGGAGGGCTTGTGCGCCGCCGTGGGCAGCAGCCTGAGCGTCCTCTCGTTGCGGAGAAACCGACTAGCCCATCTGCCCTCGGCCGCCGCTCTTCGGCACCTGGGCCGCCTGGCCGAGCTCGACCTCAGCCACAACCGCCTGCGTTGCCTGCGCGACGACGGCCAGGCGCTGGCGCTCCTGCGCGGGCTTCGTAAACTCAACCTCAGCCACAACCAGCTCGGAGCCGAAGGGACGCTGCCCAGCGGATTGGGCGAACTGCGACAGCTGGAGGAGCTAGATCTGAGTTTCAACCGCCTTAGCCACCTGCCCGCGGAGGCCCTGGCCCACCTTCAGCAGCTCCGCACCCTGGACGTGGACCACAATCAGCTTTCTGCCTTCCCTCAAGCGCTGCTGGAGCTGGATGCCCTGGAAGAGCTGGATTGCTCAGGCAACCGGCTCTTGGGGTCTCTTCCGGAGGGCATCACTTCTCTTCGGCACCTGAAAATCCTGTGGCTTAGTGGCACTGGCTTGGCGGCCTTGCCTGAGGGCTTGTGCCAGCTGGGTACCCTTGAGAGCCTCATGCTGGATGGGAACCGCCTGAGTGTCCTGCCTGCTGGTTTTGGCAGCCTGCAGCGTCTCAAAATGCTGAACCTCTCATCCAACTTACTGGTTGATTTCCCCGCAGCTGTGCTGGCCCTTCCTGGCTTGGAGGAGCTCTACCTCAGTCGCAATCAGCTTACCCTGTTGCCCGGTGGACTTTGCCAGCTCTGCCAACTACGCACCCTTTGGCTGGACAACAATCGCATCCGCTACCTGCCTGATTCCATAGTCAAGCTTCATCAGCTGGAGGAACTGGTACTTCAGGGAAATCAGATTGCCATCCTTCCAGAGGGGTTTGGCCAACTCAGCCGTGTGAGTCTCTGGAAAATCAAAGACAACCCCTTGATTCAGCCCCCCTATGAGGTCTGTATGAAGGGCATCCCTTACATAGCTGCCTACCAGAAGGAACTGGCTCACTCTCAGCCTGCCCTTAAGCCCCGTCTCAAACTAGTCCTCATGGGCCTGAAAAATGCAGGCAAAACTCTGCTTAGAAAGTGCCTCATGGAGGAAGAGGAAGAGGAGCAGGGAGAGTTATCTTTTGGTTCAGCTAACAAGAATTTTGAAAGAACCCAAAGCAGGGGGTGCTTCATACAACCCCTGAGAGACCTGCCCCAACCTCTGTCTCCAAAAGCACAGCCAAACCATTGTCCCATTGTGGAACAACCCGAGGCTTCCCCTTTGTCTGTCTCACCTCTGAAATGTTCTTGTTTAGGATATAACTCTACTGAGAAGTGGGATGTGTTCAGTCAGTCCCCCAAAGTTATTGGTCAGACCCAGGCAGGAGGCTCTGCTGCTGAGCAGCAGGATGATACCCCATTGTCCCCATCAATTAAAATACATAGGGAAATCTGCTTGGGGGGTTACCCCCTAAGGTCTCCAGGCTCACATGTAATGGAGTTGCCAGGCAGCAGCAAAGGTATTGAAGTAGCAGACTGGACAGCAGATGTAAAGAGAGGTCTAACCTTCATTGTATATGAGCTGGCAGGAGACCCAAGTTACGATGTGATCCAGCCGTTCTTCCTCTCTCCTGGAGCCCTCTACGTATTGGTAGTAAACCTGAGTACTTACATGCCACAGTGTTTTTATCCTTCTGTGGGACACTTCCTTCACTGGCTGGGAGCAAAGGTGCCCCATGCTGTGGTATGTATGGTGGGCACTCATGCAGATCTGTGTCCTGAATGGGAGGTGGAGGAGAAATGTTTAGACATCCACCGCCAGATTGCCTGGCAGGAGAAGTGTGACTGTGAAGGCCTCCAGATTCTAGCCCGGCAGGTGGATGAAGCTCTGGGGCAGGATTTTGATTTGCGCTGCTCCAGCCCCCATGTTGCTTTCTATGGGGTATCAGACAAGAACCTACGGCGCAAGAAAGCTCAGTTCCAGTATCTGCTCAACCACCGTCCCCAAATCCTCTCCCCAGTTTTGCCTATAAGCTGCTGGGATTGTGTTCACGTCTGCCGATTGCGAGAGAAGCTGCTTTCAGTGGCAGAGCACAGAGACATCTTTCCAAATTTGCACCGGGTTCTGCCAAGGTCCTGGCAAATGCTGGAGGAGCTGCACTTCCAACCCCAAGCTCAACAGCTATGGCTAAGCTGGTGGGACTCTGCTCGACTTGGCCTGCAGGCAGGGCTGACTGAGGATCGTCTCCAAAGTGCACTTTCCTACTTGCATGAGAGTGGCAAGCTGCTGTATTTTGAGGAGCACCAGACCCTGCGAGAATATGTTTTCCACAATTTGCCCAGGCTCATTGACATTCTCAATGTCTTCTGCCAGCATGATGCCTCGGTATTGCTCCAGAAACTGCTCAGCACCACCCAGATGGATGAGATGAAGGCCACACAGCTCCACCACTATGTGGAAGGATTTCTGCTCCATGGCCTTCTCCCTGCTCATGTTATTCATCTGCTCCTCAAGCCCCATATTCAAAGCAGAGAGGACTTACAGCTTCTGTTGGAATTGTTAGAAAAAATGGGACTCTGCTACGGGGTCAACAAGCCCAAATCAAAACCCTTGAATGGAGCCACAGCATGGTACAAGTTCCCCTGCTATGTGAAGAACGAGATGCCTCACGCAGAGGCATGGATCAATGGTACTAGCCTGGGTGGGCAGTCTTTTGGGGCAGAACAGTTGCAGATTGAGTACAGCTTTCCCTTTATTTTCCCCCCTGGATTGTTTGCTCGCTACAGTGTGCAGATTAACAGCCACGTGGTTCAGCGGTCAGATGGAAAATATCAGATCTATGCGTACAGGGGGAAAGTGCCGGTAGTTATAAGTTATAGGCCTGCCAAAGGCACCCAACAACCAGATACACTGTCTATTGCTAGCCATGCATCTCTACCAAATATATGGACAGCTTGGCAAGCCATAACCCCACTGGTGGAAGAACTAAATGTACTGCTTCAAGAATGGCCAGGCTTATACTATAGCGTGCATGTCCTCTGTTCCAAGTGCCTTAAAAGAGGGTCATCCCACCCACATAACTTTCCAGGTAAGAAACTTTAGCTGATTGTCAAGATAACGTCTCCTTTGCATTGAGTTTAGTTTCCTGGTTGATATATGGACACAGCCATCTTGTTTTCTTGGTAAGGTACAAAAGTGTCTCACCACTGTCTTTTTTGGGAATGTTTTTGAACTTCCAAATACGATCTACAGTCTTAGGATTTCCTGGTTATTTTCCATCTAATTAACTCCCATTCTGTTTAGCTGTTGTGAGTTCAACCAATTCCATGCGGCCAAATTTTAGATATGCAGTGTTTAAATAAAGTTTACAGTTTGCCAATAAGTTCAGGTAGTTGCCTGTAAAAGTAGATATAGGGAGCCATTTGGCTACATATCTGCATGATTTTTTTTTATTAAAATCCCATTTGTAGAGGATCACATCTTGATAGTCTGATTATTGAAAAAAGAAAAAAATATATCTAAAGGTAGGTTTGATGCTCTGTACAGGCAATTTATTTTATCCAGATAAGAAATTTCAGCACTTCCCAGTGTCCTAGTACAGGGGGTCCCCCAACTGATGAGCAGCTGAGCCCCAAATTTATGTTGTTAAGTTGTGCCCCATTTTGCAATCTTTTTTGCCATGGTTGTTTAACGAATTGCTACGGTTGTTAAGTGAATCATATGGTCATTACGTGAATCTGGCTCTCCCCCATTGACTTCGCTTGTCAGAAGCTCCTCGGGAAGGTTACAAATAACAATCCCAGGACCCCGGGATGCTGCAACAATCATAAATACATGCTGGTTGTCAAACAACCAAACTTTGATCACGTGACTGTGAGGATGTTGTAGTGGTCATCAGCGTGAGAGCTGATCAGAAGGCACTTTTTTCAGTGCCATTATAACTCTGAACAATCATTAAATGAAAGATTGTAAGTTGAGGACTCCCTGTAAATTGTAGAAATGTAATAGATGTTCTTTGTATTACTTGACACAATGGCATGTAGGGATATTTTACTAGATACTTGTAGTAGTTATATATATATTGAAGAAGGTAAACATGAGTGTTCAAATTGTTGTGCACTATAGCCGTGGTGGCGAACCTATAGCACGCGTGCCACAGGTGGCACACAGAGCCCTCTCTCTGGGCACGTGCGCCGTCGCCCCAATCCTAGGCCTTCAGCTGAGTTTTATAAAGCCTTTTCGCTTAGGCCTCCATGTGCAAAAAAAAAAAAAAAAAAAGGTTCAATCAATTTCAATTTCTCACGAGAAAAAAAAGATCTCTCAAAGTTGGAATTGATTGATTGAACTTTTTAGTCCCACCCAATCTGCCGTTACCACCGCAGCCACACCCACCCAATGGGCCACGCCCACCCAGCACTCAATGATAAGTGGGTTTTGGGTTGCAATTTGGGCACTCGGCCTCTAAAAGGTTCGCTATCACTGCACTATAGCTTGGCATCTATATTACCTTATCAAATTTCAAATGGGACTACAGTAAGTAATAGAATATGTGTAAATGGCTGTCTGTATCTTTTCCCAAAATAATCCTGAAATATTTTTGGTGACTTCTCTTGACTTATTGAGTATGTTGCTGTGGCAAATTATTACTTAATAAGTAATCATTAATTTACTGTTTCCTGTTGAATAGACACTGTAAAGAAAAGGTTCTAAACTTTATGTAGAATGTTGATATAGAGAGTGCAACTTGAAGGCTGCTTTATTTAGCTCTGCAAGTATTCATTTCTATGCATTATTCACATTTTTATTGCTGCTGAGTCCATATCTTTTCTTCAGGCGCTTCTGCAAATCATTATGGTTGTGCTTGTACAAAATGTTAAGTTAAAATATGGTTGGCAAGGCTGTACAAACGTTGCTGTTTAATGTATGATTCATTGTATTGAATCATTGTATGAACCCAGCCAATTTAATTAACTCGGGAAATAGCGATTAAGTATATCAGTTTCTCCTGCCCTTCCCCCCATGTGTGTGTGTGTGTGTGTGTGTGTGTGTGTGTGTGTATTGCTACCCTACATCTTAATAGGCCTGTAATGTTTGTGGCATCCAACCTTGTGCAATGGACATCAGTTGGAAATTTCATCTGTTCCCCAACACCTCTTTATATGTTTGTGCCTAAAACAGATTCTTCATAGATTGTCACCATGTGGCTTGTCCTCTTTCCAGTGTCATAGTGTGATTGACTCCCCATTTAATTTCTCTATGTGGAAATGGATGGGGTATGTGTGCTTACTGCCTTCACCTCAGGCAGTCATAAGTTGTACAGGCCTGATGAATAATATGCTAAATAATTCTGAATGTTTTTGAATGCTCATAAAGCAGACATGTCAAACAGAAGGCCCGGGAGCTGGATGCGGCCCGCGACGTGGTTTCATGTGGCCTGCGAAGCCATCCTGGAAAGAATGAGGGAATGGCCCCCGCTGCCTTGGCCCCAGGCCGGCCGGGAGCCAATGTACAATTTTGTGGTGGCCATCTATGCTGAAACGCATTCAGTCTTAGTTCCACAAGGCCATCTGGAAACAGTGAGGAACCAGCCCCTGCCACATCGGCTCTGTCCCCTGGGTGCATGCTGGGAAGGTGTCACCCTTTGTGAGGAATGAAGAAATGCACCATTGCCTGGAAGTGGCCAGCAAATGGCCCTCACCTACTTCACATATCCGGCTTGATGGGCTTCGGGGGAGGGATTTCAGCAGGCTCTTCCAGTGGACCATGCCTTGGCGCTTGTCCTGGTCCCACCCCCTTCTGCCAGAGATCCTCAGATCTGTCCCACTCCTGTCCAGACCCCCACAGGCACCTTTGACGCGAATGATGTAGAGCTGGCCATGCCCACCCAGTAGGCACACCTACTCCAGCCATGCCCACCCAGTAGGCCATGCCCACCCTGGCCATACCTACTTCCCCCCCCCCCCCCAGGACAACTGCAATGCTGATGCGGCCCTCAATGAAATTGAGTTTGACACCCCTGTCATAAAGCAAACAGCCTCAAAATGTTAAAAAAAAAATCTTAATTGGCTTTCAAAGAGTATAATAGAAGCAAATAATATCTCATCATGACTTTCATCTAAATTGCTTGTTAAGGGGAAAATTAAAACAGTTCAATAAAGTAGAGCCTATTTTTTTCTTCTGGAAATTTGATCATGTCTTGAAAGAGTTTGTTGAAAATGCTCAATATAGAGTTTGTTTATGGATTTATGATATAGCTGTCATGTATTTAGTCATTAGATTTATATCTAGCCTTTCATTCAGGAATTCAAGTGTCACACATAACTCTCTTCTCTTATTTTTCTCTCAATAGAAACCTTATGAGGTTCTCACCTCTCCTAATCCAGCATTTACGTGACTACACCAAACTGGCTCTCACTGTGCAAAATCTATTTCTGTATACACTTCTAACACATTGCATAGCTTTCCTAAGCCAATATAAATAGCCAATGATTTTGATGTTTATTTATTTAACAGGATTTTTGTATTTCTCCAGTCTCTGTCCATTGGCAATTTGCACTAAAAGCTCTCTACCCATAAACTAAAAGCCGACCAGTGGCTTCCCAAGAGCCAGACATAATTATTTAAAGTGCATTGTAGCACAAGATAAAATGCACCGGATATATACCTATGGGGTAGTGTCTTTGACAGTGTGGGGACTACCTCAGAGAAAGCTTGCTTTCAGATGTATCCTGTTCTTTCCTGTCATGGGGATGAAATCTTAAAACAATCCTGTATATCCCTATTATATAATATCCCTATATGATATTACATAATATATAGGATTTATAGGCAGGAGTATAGACTTGCAGTTAGTAAGGGGCAGTTTGCAGATCGTTCTCATCTAGGCCCATGGATCAGCATGGAACCTTTCTGCTCAAGCATACTAATTTCCATTCTATGACTACCAAAAGTCATCATTGGATTTGGGTTTAGCATATACATGCCTTCATGCTTTAGTTCATCAGAGTAGAAAGCCATAGCAAAAGCTAAGCTGAGGCAAATTCTGGAACCATTTTCTGGTTGAGGCTGGAGGTGGTATGCATTATACGTTCAGATAGCACGCCAGTGGCTAATATTTGCTATCAACACTTTTGGGGAAAAAAACTAATATGTATGTGCAAATGTATAAATATACTCTATATCATCTATAGTGCCATTGCTGTATGCTAGGCAGCATCAGCCACAATATTAAAGCTCTTTGCCCTGTCCAGTAAGGTGATGTCACAAACTTTGCAGCTCTCAGCTGTGTCCAAGGTTACATTATCTTGTAGGCCTTAAAGGGAGCCACTGGGGCAGTGAATTATCTCTTTTTCTAGCTTCGCTGCTTTTAGAATCTGAGAAATGGTTGTGAAGACTTCTGAACGTAAATTAAGTAAGGCCGTGAGTCATTGTTCTGAAGAATTGCTAAATGCTATCTCTACCCCAGCTTTTAATTGTATGAGTAGGAGAAGAATCGACCTTTCCTTCCTTCCCCCATACCCGAGACATGACATGGTGTGGTGATTACTCTAAATTTTCAGTACAGTATGACACAACTGATTTTCTGATAATGGGTTGTCTTGAATTTATCACTTTTACATCAGGATTGGTATTTTTTTTATTCTGTAATGGAGACTTGAGTCAGAACATCAAAAGGGTATTTTTGGGAAATAGAACATATGCTGGCAAAAAGTCAAGACAAACATCTGATCTTAATAAGCAGTGCGTTTAGAAGGGCTTTCTTTTTAGGCCATTCAAGTACTTGAGAATGTATTTCATTAAGATGGAGAAGAAAAGAACAGCAGATTTTACTTTGTTCAAATGGTATATTTTTGACTTGCTAGAAATTTCCTTATACAGTGGTATGATAAAAATATTTTAACATTGCTATTCTTGTATGTGCTTTTAGTAAATAACTCTGAAGAACACAGTGATAATTTAAAATTTGCTTTTGGTAATCTTTGATATTTTTTTTGTTGTAGACAACACCTGGATACCAGAACTGTCTGGTTCTATAAATGTGGATAATTTTTCATGAGAATATGCCCCATTTAATATTTCACATTTCTT